TTAAAATATTAAATTTTTTCGATTGACGAATGAAAATGGATGATGGATTATGGTTATAAAAAAATGCTGCCACTCCTTAATTTCAGAAATATTTGCCACTTGGAGTGATGGAAATTCTCGCCCCTCCTAAATAAGTCCTTGTGTGTACGTTTAGGTGCATATAACAGTCAAAGGCGGTCCTCGAATAAAAAACAGAATACGAGTATACAAGTTGAAAGAAAAGCTGGAAAAACAAGAGATTTAGGCATGAAAATTAACGTGAGGTTAGATCTTAATAATCTCAGGCAAGCCCGGTGAATGTTATAAAATCGTTGAAAATATTTACTCGTGGATAAGAGTAAGGGATATTAGATTTTCAAGTATAATATTATCAGAAACGCGTGCTTGCTGCAGGCCAACAGTGCTTTTAAAAATTTTAATTATCGGTGCAGTTCTATTATTTGAAACAGACAAGATAAAAATGAAACGAAAAAGTACAGTCTGAACACTTTAAATTATGACCTAGCAATAAAGAAAGGTTGTCTACAGTTGTACATTGTTATACAGGTCTGGCGTAAAGAAAAAAGAAAAGAAAAACATATACACATAATACTGACAATCGAAAATGTTTTTATTTATCGAGGGAAATTTTATAATAGGTATATACTAGTATTCTAAAGTGGTGAAGTAAGATAATATAATAACTTCCAGAACCTTTTTTCAGTACTTTTATTTGAATGACAATCATTGTGAAATTATAAAAATTAGTTATTTTTTATAGAATGTATTTGTACATAATCTACTTAGAAATAAGTTGATAAAAAAAAAATTCTAATCAATAAGAGTAGTTTTTCTATTAGGTGTAATTAATAATCATGCAGATCTTTAAGAACAATTTTAAATACATCACTAATTTGTTCAGCTTTTATTCTACGGAGCAAAATAGTTTTTAAGTTATTGGAATTTACATGCAAGAAAATCAGATGGAATGGCTAACGTCATTTCTGGGTGTCGAGGAATATAAAAGGAAGGAAAAAAACACATATTCGGGAAAACCATGAATGTTCCGGGAAATTGTCATTGCCTTACGTTTTAGGTCTAATTTTTGAAGTCTATGCGACATTTTCGTTTTTTAACCACTGCCAAATGCGACGCGAGTCTCTTATTCGCGAACCGCATAACTAACCGGTCGATTCGAACGTCGTATATTTTCGCTTAATGGACAACGTCCATAAATTACAAAAACTATTCGCACGAATCGTATAAGCGCTCGAGCCGAAAGAAACGCGTTAATCGAAATTAATGGTTACGTGTTCGTATATATGATGTGTAAAAATTAGTTTTTTCACGTTTAAATATCATTTGTTACACTTGAATATTCTGCACGCATTGTTAAATAATAATAATAATGATAAAAATGTTTTACTTTTAAAAATGTATTATAAATAAAAATACACATGCAATATACGTATAATCAGATGTGTGAATTTCTTCCAGTGTTTCAGGAAACAGATGTGATATGTAGTAGGGAATTTTTTCGTATGGGCTGCAGTAAAATACGTGTCCTTAAATTTATGAAGTCACGCCGGTAATTCTTTTAAGCTGCGTTACTTCGGAGTTATAATTTATTAAATTACTTCGTACACCTGCTATACACATACCGTCTTACATAATATATATATATACACGTATATACGTACCATACAATTCTGTAGAGCCTAAAAACATAACAAATCTTATACTTAGTTGTGCACTTAAAAATATCTGCAGCGATTTATTACATTTTACATAGTTCTTGTTGCATTTAACGCAGTATTATATATTACTATATAAATAATTTTAATACAATATTAATGTTATGTATTTACGATTATAATTGGGAATTTATATTATGATGAACGGATGACATTACACTTCAATAATTTATTTCGCAATTAGTATGTTGCAGTAAACCCGATAAATTATTATTATTCCGAGTTTATGGCTCGTGTACTGCGAATTATGCGATTTTTAATTGCTCTTCATTTTTTACGAGCAATGACTATCAAGATGTACCAATAACATCCGAACCGCCACGCATCCAGTTTAACGATACAATAATTTGTTGTCGTTTAGATATTACGACATTACACTACAATGTTGCACTTATGAAATTTTTTCGATCTCAACGAATCCGTAATACCGACGCTACTACCGGCTGCGCATCAACAACGACAGTTTGGTTGCAAATTCATCCAGTGAAATATTCTCGAGGAAAATAAAATCATAAAAAAAAAAAACGAACAACGCACCCATTTAGGTTTTTTTTTTTAGATTTCATTTGGGTTTTAGTTTTACATTTTTGATTCTGACATATTGTGGCAATATTATTCGCTATTATGCTGTCGTCCCGAGGCACATTAAATCATTTTTCTAATAATCCTGTCAAATGTAATGTTTTCGAATGCCTATCTTGTCTAAAGACTAAAGATTGCAGATGCAATCGGTGTGTAACATTCACGCATATGTACGCAGACTCAACTACAGTACCAATTCATTACACGCAGAACCCTTTTTGGGTATGCAGGGTCCTTTGGACACACAGAGTTTATGGACCCTTTTATGGTTAAAGCAAAACACGATTATTTCACATTATCTACCAATTTCCAATTTATAACACTTTTAACTTTGTTCAATAATGTACCAACGATATTATTTTATCACGGACATATAAATATTTATAACCTTGTAACCTGTCACTGAACGTCAATAATTTGTTGTTTGTGACATTTATCGCTAATGAAGTAACCGTCGTTTTTATAGCATTTAAATTTTGATTTTAATATTTTTTAATATTATTTTTAAATTATTACTTACTATTTAAGCCTGACAGTCAAATATTTAGTTGAAATAGGTTGCGCCAATATATTACATCGTAAAGATGTAAATTATATTTTCGTCGTCTCCGGCAGTTGGAGAGTTGGTGTGGGGGAGAGCCATTAGTTTAAGGGTCCCGAGTTCATGCACCACGTGCCCTTAGGGTAAAGACGGTATTGACTACATCAGGAATGTCAAACTCAAAGTATCAAGTGGGCCAAATATATTGAAAATTCTATTAGACTGGGCCGCAGATAAACATTTTTATATTTTTACATGCACATATAAAACTATAAATACAACTTATTCGATCACAGTTTACCAGAAGATAAAACATGATAATGTATACCAAATATACCGTCCTCTAAGAATCTAAAATAGTTGACATATTTTATAATTGTTTTTCTATTTATTTTTTATTTTGTCCACTATATAGCCACGGGCCACAAAAAAATTAGTCGCGTGTTTGACATTCCTGGATTACACGTATATCGTACCATATACAACTTTTATAACATCGATAACATTCCAGATAAGAACTTTTATGATCATAAGCAACAACAACTTTTATATTCGCTCAATAAGTACCTATCCAAACAGTTATTAATTATTTTTCAATAAAAATTGCAGATAGTCGTAAATGGTCCGTCACGTTTATCGAACTATAAAATAATCGTCGCATGTTCAGTGCCGCAAGTTCACAATTACTGCAAATTCAGGTAATGAGTCTTAAATATTTTCGCACCGGCACTTCAAAATTATAATTGTGGCAAAATGATGTGCGAAAATTAAGTGAGTGCTCATCGGGGATCCATTTCGCAGTGAGCGTGGCGATGAATGTTACATCATTGCAACGCATACGATCATTAACTGAACAATCGGATTGTAATGTAGGTAGCGCCGATGTACAATTATTTCTCGAGCACATTTATCGCGTTTACCTCCATCGGTCACGTATCGGTTTAATAATCGAACTCGCTTCATTATAAAAAACCGCGTTCAAATCGGAAAAAACCCTAAGATATCTTTTTTTTATTTCAACAGTAAGATTCCAATTTCACGAACGTCGAACGGCTGTGCACAGTTAAGGTGTGGCTTCAATTTCGGCGAACAAAGGTTTAATAATTCGAAAATCGATCAACATTTCACGACATTTCAACGAGATGAATGAGGCGCACGCCGGACGGCAGTTGAAAAACACTGCGGAATTGGAAGCAACGATTTCCATTTTTTCCAAGTCAAAACACAAATGGTAGAAACGAATACGAAAATAATGCCCGCCGGTGGCGTAGTATGATACACACAGATCGTTTTCGTTAAATGTTACAAGAATTTTGACCTCGACGAAAGGCGCGAAAACGATCGAGCGAAGTTAACCGAACCGGTACACGGCTTCGCTAGTACGACTGTCTTGCCAACTGTCTTTCCCTTGTCCGTCGATTCGTTAGATGACTACGCGAACGGTTATTATTTTGGGTCGTTCGCCGAAACCGTTTCGGAGCGGGTACAGTTTTCATTCACGGAAATCGTTACGATACTTCATACTACGTGTGAAATTGATTCGAAGTTTCAAGTCAAGTCTGAAGTTCAGACTCTGGACGTTCAGCTGACGATCATACGTTTTTTGACGCGAACACATGCCGAATGTGCATTTGAAATACCGTAGGTACGTGAACTCTCAATGTTCTGGTATTGTTAATACAATGTACGTACCATCACCGGCAGGTAAAACGATCGTTACTACCAAACAATATCAACTGCTTAATATGCAGAAAATACGATAATATTACACTCGTTTAGCGTATACGTTAGTTGTACGCAATAAGTACAATGCGAGTAATAATAATAATAATAATAATAATATCAACAACAATTAATCAATTGATATACAAACTGTTTTGTCCGGACTAATAGTTCGAATATACGATGTACGTATATATTACATACAAGTGTACCGTAATTTAATCGTGTACAGTTAACCTACTGTTATTACGTTTAACTGTTGCGGGACTACAATAAACGGTAATAGTACCGCTGTTCCACCGAGGAAACGGTTTAATTACAAACGAAATTTTCGCGATGGAATTAAAAAGAATCACCGTATTGAAATCCTTCGTAATTATATTTTTACCATTTTAATTTGATTTTTAATTCAATTCGCTTACCTTTGTTCTAGTGCCATTTGTTTCTTCCACACAATAAACGTGTCGCACCCTTATTCCACCTCCGCATGTTTTGCTACAGGGACTCCAGTTGTCGTCGGCTACCCACCTAAAAGCGAAACAAAAAAAAAAAAAAAAATAATAATAAAATATCATAATAAAGTGTTCAGAGAACAGTTTGGGGATATGGGAATTAAATTAACAAGAAAAAAAAGAAACAATTTTAATGCGTGCAAGATTAACTCGTTGACGTTTTGCATAATAAGGTTCACGCATAAATATACAATAGTAAACAAGTAACATATAGTTAGACGAAACATGTAAAATTCAATATCGTCAGTTCGAAACCAGAATTTCATCGCGTCTTAAAACAAATTCACGAGTATTATTTCATAATGCGTGATAGAATAAATGCACGAAGTTATTTGATCTCAACATTACAGTCGTAGTGATAATGATACATATTACGTTTAAATTATTTGAATGTTAATTTAAGTGATTTATAGTTTGTCGATTAAAAACTTACTTATGTTGAAATGTTGATGATATTATAATACATTGCGGATACCAACGTTCAACACGGTCATTGTCAACAATAAATTATAAAGTTAAAATTCTACTGCATAAGCTATAAGAATGTTGCGAAAATAATTAATTTCTCGAACAATAAAATGCGACGAAAAGAGAAAAATTAAAACAGGCAAAAGTAGATTTTTTTTTTTTTTTTATTTATCGATTGTTGTTTGTAGAACGCCGAAAATATTTTATGTGTTCAAACAAAACCATTATTTATTCTGTTCGGCTAATATTTTGGATAACAAGCGCTACTCGCTGTTTGTTCGACTTTTACATTTATTTACTTTGGAAACAAATCGGAAACCAATTTTACTCTTGCGAACACGAAGCGAAAACGCGTACAAATCGTTTCACACGTTCCCGAAATAATATACGGTATAAAAAACATCGGCGCAAAAAAAAAAAAAAAAACGAAAATAAGAAAAATCCACTACAGAAACACGTTGTTTGTTCATATACCTTTACGTAGTGTTAAAATACGCGCGTTTATTAAATAATTTATAAACATTTCTCGGTGCGAACGCAACAACATGAGTGTACTTACTACGTTTCCAGTGCTCAGAATCGACAAAAATAAATAAACCGAAAAACGTCTTAACGGGAACGGTGACAAATCCTAAAACGACATAAAATTATAACCCGACAACGTACGGCACATGGTCGTTGGGTGCCGGGAAACTTGATCGAATAAATAAGATATTGCGTTCCGTTCGCTTTTGACGAACGTCAAAATACACGGAGGAGACGTGAAAAAAATATATTTTCATAGCGTCTCCGTTTAAATGCCGTCAGCAACACCACGGATTATAACGCGACGTCGTCGTCGTCGGATAACGCGTAACACGAACTGTTATTATAATGTCGTGCGCGTTTTTAATACTTCGCAAGAAATCGGTATTATCGCAGGCATGATGTGCACGCTCGCTGTGATGCTGTGGCACGGTGGGTGGGGGATTATCACGAAGGAGCGAATTCGGACGTTTTTATTAACATTTCTGTGATACTAAACGACAGACGATAGTATTAGGTACATCATTATCGCAGTACACTGCGAGCACAAGAAAATATATGACGGTATTGACGTGAAAATATACGTATATGAACACTTCTTTCTAAGGTCTTAATTATTATTATTTTTCTGTGAAATAGGTACGATAGTGTAGGAATGTTCCTTATTACGGGGGGGGGGGGGAACAAAGAGAAGATGTTAGGCACAGTTTGACTGAATTGTGATCATTTTCGAATTCGAAACCGATTCGAGCAGAGTTCGGTTTAGGCGATTAAAATACATCGACGTTTGGACAAAACATGTTGGACTCTTTCGGAATTCAACACAATGTCGGTAACTTTTAGCATTCAAACATAGAAATCTCTGAGCGACTGAAGATAAAACGTGTATTGAAACGTCGCACCGATCAAATATTCAAGACCCTGCAGTGACCCGGTATCGACAGATGCGCTTAAGAGTAGAGGACATTTGTATAGTTACTAACGGTTGAGTTTGTCAAATGAAAACTGACCGTTTCGTTTACATTGCTGTCGCAAGGGTTTATCGGATCGTGGGGCTCGGACAACTCTAAGGATAAGCTAATCGAATGTCTTTTAAGAAGGAATTTTCCCGATTTTAAGATAGCACCAACGGCGACATGACTGGCGATTGCGTTCGACGACATCCAAAACGATCCGATTCCGTCGACCTGCACTTGACAAGCCGACGTCCCAAGGCGGGAGATAAGGGAGCGGTTCCGCCGGAGCCGCGTGACCGGGGTCGCGAGATCGAAACGTATCCGATTAAGAACCAGCTGCGGCGTTGTCAATCCGATCCGTCTCCGGCAACTGCGTGGCACCGAATCAGTCGAGCTCACTACCTTTGAAACCATTGAAAAACGTGCGTATGACCTACTGCAACGGCAGCAGATCGAAGATCGGTCAGATTGATATCGATGCACCCCTGTAGTAATCATAATCGTAAAAGTATATTATTGTGAATAAAGAAACAAACGTTTCCGACCTAAACCATAACGCAGAAATGATCTAAATCTAAATAGGACCGTCGTCCGTATATTGAATAAATAAATAGGGTTTTCGCTCGATCGAGCTTCAAATCCGCAATGGCCACGTGACGTTTAATAAATCATTAGTGATCAAAAACTCTTGGACGCCTAGTCGCACCTGCACGCTTTCCAGTGATCGATTCTCGTCGGAATTAATAATTTTGCATATTTATAAAACGAAAAAGTTTCGAAAGAAACATAAATTTCTTAGGGGTCCCCTCTTCGAGAAATAATCTTTATATCAAAAGCATTCGTTTAAGCGGACAACAGTAGTCGTTGCGACTGGCATGTATTTAACGATAACAGTGTACAGACGGCGAGTTTCTTTTAGTGTGTTAATCAACGTGTATAAAATATTGAACGTGAAATGCGAAGTGAGTTCAGAGCAATAGTTACAAATAATGGTGTAAACATTGTTCCGTATAGTAAATAATTGATCGATTGGCGAATTGCTCTTTTGTGACGAAAGTTTTCACTTGTAGAAAAATACGAGTAGGTATACTCAATTTTAAATCTACAGTAAATGGTTTAACGGGTATTGATCAGATGCAGTACACAGATCATACAGGCTAAATCAACGTTTTTGGCCAAGTGATGGATATGCATATTTAAGGACTTTATGCCATCCATATACGTTAAGCGCATTATAAATAATCGTTAAGTTTAATTATTGGTTTGGCAGTAAAACGTTGTTTTATCTAGACTTACAAGTTTCTTTCATTTAATTTTATTTTCACAGTAAACAGACATTAATTAAAGAAAAGTAATAATATTTATATCGAAGGTGGTGTATAATTATTAAGCGTGGCAATCATCCAAGAATAGATTTATAATATATACACATAAAAAATTAGGAAAGAAAAAGCAGCGGAGACTTGTTTATTTATTAGACTTAAGAGAACGCCAAAACGCTCGTAAATTATTCGTAAAAACGCTTTTGCGCCGGATAAACTGACAAAGATATTATTTACGATAGCCTTACCAAATATTTACTGCACATAGAGAACAACATTGTCTATACCGTAGCGTCTTAATAATTTTGATGGCTTAAACACAATCGAAATTAATAATTGATGAAAGTTGATTTAATTTGTTTTCTTGCATTTGAGCGTTAAAAATTAGATATCAAATAATAAAAAAAAATACGCTGCGAAAAAAATTATGTTTCCTTCTGTATACTGTAAACATTTGATAAATATACCTTGAATACTTTTTTTGTAAATTTGTCTCGTACAAATTAGTTTTTCAAGAAAACTTATGGAAAAGTATTACGAGTATAATAAAGACCTTCATTTGTGGACTTCAAACAGTCTTAAGACAACATCAACCGTGAACAACTATGGATAACTCTAAGAAACTTTGGTACTCCCGATAAATTAGTGAGACTAATCCAGATACGTTATAAAGAAACTTACTGCAGAGTATGTGTTTCTCTGGAGAATTATCATTAATATTTAAATGCAAAAATGGTCTGAAACAGGGTGACGCACTGTCCCCGGTGTTGTTTAATCTATCTCTGGAAAAGACGGTGAGGGATATACGTGGCTCAAGTGCGCGGCTCGCAATTATTTTGAACTCCAATAATAAAAAACGATAATAATATAATTGTTATTATTATTTTATAATTATTGCTTTTAACTAAGCTAATTTTATTACTGTCACACAACAGTTTTATCTATTCAAAAAATCGAAAATAAAATTAGTATCGAAAATAGTGTGCAATAGAGTGATAGAATTTAATATCAAAACGTATTTATATTAATTTTTTATTTATAACCATTTCTGCTAAATTCACGAATGCACACATAATTTTTAAATTTTATTAAATTATTTGTAAATTTCCTGTGCTGTTTTTTTAAATAATTTTCTTAGTAAAATTTCACCAAAAAAGGCAAGATCAATTGGTAATAAACAAGCTCGATCAAAAAAAAAAAGTTAAAAAAAAAAAATAATGATAGATTTTCAGAAAAGTTTAAGTAAAAATTTTAGGTAAGTACTTATAAATACCACTAATAATTAATAAGTTTAGTATCTAACTAAGCAGCAACAAACAATTTCAAAATATTCATAGATACATGAAATAAACATATAAATTCATACATTTTTAGATATTTTAATAAAAAACTATATAAATTTATGGTAAAATCAACCCTAGCATTTTAAATTAATTTTTTCAGTTCTGTAAAATTTTTTGAAAATTGTATTAATTAATGTTTAGTTCATATACAATTGTACCATATATATTTTTACTAGCAAAATTAACTGTTTTTTAGTCACATTTTGAATGTTTTTTTAGAATATACTCAGATATCAGAAATATTAATATTTTATTGTTGTACTGATTAAATTTTATGTAGAATTAAGTTATAAATTAATATACTTTGTACACTGTGAAAAATTGAATGATTTTAATGATATTGTTGATTTTGAATTGGTACAACCATGTGACTATAACGTAGCTTATGTATTGAACACTGAT